ATATGTTACGTTACAACAACAACAACTGTCTCAGCAACTTGATTCGTCTCAAGTTTTTTGCAATGAGGAAGATGAACACTCTGAAGTCGATGTCATTGACGAAGAAGAAGAAGCAAATGAAGTCACTGTTGACGAGATGGTGAACAATCCAGAGGATGAAGTTCAACCTGGCAATGAATATTGTCCACCTCAACACATGACTACTATCGCCTTAGGTGATGATGAACCCTCGAGGGATGTGTTTTACAACCCCAACTACACAACAGGGGGCAACTAAAAGAGGGTGACGAGTTTGGTACAAAAGAAAATTGTGTTCGGGCTATCAAACAGTTTCACATGGAGTTGTCAGCCGACTACAGAGTCGATCGGACAAATCTGACGCGGTATATGATCTATTGGCATAACGAGGAGTGCCCGTTCCGATTAATAGCATCTTTCAGGAAGAGAAGTGATTCCTGGAAGATAGGGTCAATGGGTCCGTCCCACAGTTGTATAATTTCGAATCCAATGCAAGACCATCGCAAACTCAGCTCTAAATTGATTTGCGATGAGATTCTGTCAGTTGTTAGCGACAACCCGTCTTTGAAGGTGAGTACCATAATTGCACATATGGTACAAAGGTACAACTACACTCCTTCGTACCGAAAAGCCTGGATTTCCAGGACTAAAGCGGTTGAAAGGGTGTTTGGAAATTGGGAGGAGTCGTATAAGGAACTTCCTAAATTCCTGGTGGCCCTTAAGCACTACTCACCAGGAACTGTTGTGATATTGGAGACGATGCCTTCTTGTACACCAGACGGGACTTGTGTTGCTGGAAATGGAATTTTCCACAGAGTCTTTTGGACGTTCGAACCATGCATCAAAGGGTTTGCATTTTGTAAACCTATAATTCAAATTTACGGAACATGGTTATACGGGAAATATAAGGGCACACTTCTCATGGCAGTGGCACAGGACGGGAACAACAACATTTTTCCAATAGTCTTCGCCATAGTAGAAGGGGAGACTGCTGAGGGTTGGAGTTTTTTCTTAAAAAACCTCCGCTCTTACGTGTCTCCACAACCCAACTTATGTTTGATCTCTGATCGACACCCATCCATCGAGAGTGCATACAACATCCATGACAACGGTTGGCAGGATCCTCCCTCGACCCACGTCTATTGCATAAGGCATATTGCCCAAAATTCATGCGGGAAATCAAGGACAGGACGCTGCGAAAGAAGGTTGTGAACGCGGGATATGCACTAACTGAACCCACATTCAGATACTACAGGGACAAGATCAGACTGAACAACGCGGACGCATTAAGATGGATTGACAGCATTGATAGGGAGAAATGGACGCGGGCATACGACAATGGGGTGCGATGGGGCCACATGACAACTAACCTCGTCGAGTCAATGAATTCTGTTTTCAAGGGAATCGGAAACCTCCCAATAACTGCCTTGGTAAAGGCAACCTATTTTAGGCTAGGATCACTTGTTGATAGCAGACGTACGAAGTGGGGTTCGGTATTACAATCTGGCCAGCTGTATAGCGATACTTCAATGAAATTCATGAAAGAGGAAGCAGTCAAAGCCAACACACACGTGGTCACAATCTTTGACCGTACAACTGGTTGGTTCAGTGTTGCCGAGTCTATGGATCACAACGAAGGAAGGCCTAGGGGATGTTACCGTGTTGAATTGGATAAGAGCTGGTGTGATTGTGGAAAGTTTCAAGCATTTCGTATGTCGTGCTCTCATGTCATAGCAGCATGTTCCAAGTTGCGCCAGGACCCAACCAACCTTCTTTCTGCAGTTCACCAAGTCATTAGTCTATGCAATGTCTACACATGCAGCTTTCAAGTCGTGGCAAAGGAGGACTATTGGCCTAAATACGAAGGCGAAATTGTTTGGCATAATGACTTGATGCCCAGACAGAAGAAGGGTCGGCCTAACAGCACGCGCATTCGAACTGAGATGGATACCGCAGACAAGCTGGTGAGATTGTGTAGTTCGTGTCGGCAACCAGGACACAATCGAACAAAATGTCCTAACGTAGGATCAAGCAGCAGATCATAGTTTCAAATGTAATCTTGACCCGTTAAACCAATATCAACTTTCATTCGATTAATAGCAACTTTTATTCCATTAATAAAAAATTTCATTCGAATAATACCAGGTTTCAATCAATTAAAACCATAGTTAACTGACACAGCAACAACATGACAACAGAACACTACGCGAAGGCAACATAAATTAAACAAACATAACAACAACAACGTAAAGACCTAAAACAGAACACTGCACTAAAACGTCTACGATATCACGACCATCAACTTTATCTTCTTGGGTGTCAACATCATCACAAGGACACCGGCATCATTTTCCACTTTTCTTCATTCACGAGTCACTCTGTTTCTCCCGGTCTCCTCGACCAGCCTCTCGATTTTCTTAATCTTTTCTCCTGGACCAATGTCTCCTTCTAGCCAGCGGTTCAGTTCCCTGTGCAAGTGCTCCAACGTCTGCGTATTCCAGAGGAGCACCTTCATCGGAGGCTTTGTTGGTGAAAACACAACTAGGGCATTTCTTTTCATTAGATCGAACGTTGGAAAAGGTTCCTCCGATGCTGATGACGAGGACGAAGAACGTTGATTTAGAAATGCAGACATTCTAGACTCCACTCAACTCGAACTGCACTAACACTTTAGTCTTTTGGGATATAATGTTGTGAAAACATAAATGTGTTTGCGGTCGTATTTATAGTAAAAACAAATAGTACGTACCCTATATGATATGACTTAAATAACCTTACAACATTTATACACTCAAAATTTGCTCAACACTATATTTTTATTTTATATTTAAACCAGTTTAAGTTTTTTGTTTATTAAACATAAATTTATTAAATTAATTAGAAATTATTTTTATTTAAACCTAAGTTTTTTAACTAAAAAATAAATTTTAAGATTAAACCACATTATTTTAAATTTATTAATTAAAAATTTTATTTAAACATTTAAATCTAATTTTTTTAAATTTATTAATAATATTTATGTTTAAAAAAATTAATAATGCAAAATATAAAAAAAATCGTTTTTCTTTTTTTAAAACACTAAATGAATATAAAAAAATACTCAAAATATAAAACCAACAATAATGGATTTTTGGAACCCTAGCCTTGTACTGATTCGCCAATCAGGATGGCGCATGAATCCACCACAACACTCATTCACCAGATGATATGGCGAATTGATTTTTTAAGAAACTCACTTTTAACACATTCTTCAGATGGTATGGCGAATTGGTATTCTGCAAAATCCAATTTCAACACATTCGCTATTTCAAATGGCGACCCAAGGTTAATTTCATAGCCATTTTGAACAATTTTCTGAATACTTAGTTATTTTGGTAAATAAAAATCATTACTTGGTTATGTTAAAAAAAAAATCCTCGTTCACAATATATCAACTCAAATATAAAAAAAAAAAACTACAAAATCATATTCAAATCATAAAAATCACCAAACGCTTAAAGAATCATAGTGAAACAGCATAGTTATGTAACTCAAAATAAGTATAAAAATCCACAAAATTATTTTCTAAGGAAGATATCTCGTCCAACACCATTTAGATTCCCACCGTGCTCTGATGTTCATGATATTCATTTGGAACAAAAGCACCTAGATCGGTCTTTTCAATTAATGAGTCGTATAGTAAAAGTAAAACTTCAGTATTACCAACATATACAAAATGCAACAATAAAAAATATACACTCTGATAAGAAAAAAAAGATCATATGCACAACTAAAAACCAAAGATGCTAACATTTGGTAGCAGAATCCAAAACATTATTTTAGCCAACTTGAAAAATTATTTCATTAGTATAATATTTTTCTTAAATACTTCTCGAGAGAGATATTGAAAGAAACATCATTTATTTATGTTCGTTATGGCTTGACACTTATGAAAACCGTTCAGCATTTTTAGCATAGATGTTATTGACATAAATCTCAACAAATTTCATTAAAACAATTCAATTGATAGTTGTGTAGAGATATCAAATATATGAACGCGAGATCGAAACTGCAACATTTTTATTGTTCATCATTAATAAGGTGAACTACATCCACTTTACTACTTTAAAAAAAAAAAAAACTCAACAAACTAAAAGAATCATAAAATACAGCAAAACAGTCCAGGCATGCATTAGTTCATTTAATAAATTTCAACACTATTTAACTTAATGATCAAAGAAAGCCTGAAATCGAATCTATTTAATTTTCCCTCCATGCTACCACAATTTTATGCCTTGTTTTAACATAAACTATTCAGCCACAACATTCACATATATCCACAAAAACAACATAGTTGTCAAACATTTCACAAATTTACAAATAAAATTATTCATTAAATCATATTGAAGCTGAAAAGTGAAAACGATTAATAATATTTTAGTTGCACATTAACAATAACTTGACATCGATCTAGACTACTTTTTCATGCAGTTGGATAGTTGGAGGAAATCTCACAGTTTGGAGAGGGTAGAAAGACTTTGAAATCTAAGATTCAGGGCTTGCAAACTACACAACAATCGTGATTGCACAGATTTAGGATCAATTCGAAAATGTATATGTCAAAAAGTTTTTTCCCTCCTTCAAAGTCTTCACAACAGTGAGATCCTTTAACACATTACAATCTAATGAACGACTTTATGAGTTTGATGCCATGAGAAAATATATCTATTCTAGAAATAAATGGTCAAAATATGCAACGATGCTAGTTTCATATGATTCAAACTCTTCAATAAGAAGGGGGTGATCAAAGACATTTCCATTCGAGATATATGGCAAGTAAACTTTCTCAACTCATCATAACGTTTCTACATAACTTTTAATTCTTTTGACCATAGAGAAAGTCAACCAGTCCCTAAAAATAATACATAAATAAAAAAATTCTACAAGAAAAGTTAATCAACATGGATTTAACATTTCACTCAATTACAAGGCTAATTAGGCTCTTATTTCTTACTGAGATCAACTCCAGCCTTTTTCGCAACTGCATCAAGTCCATTCTTCTCTATGGTCTTCAATGCCTTGGTCGACAAACGAAGCTTTAAAAAGCGCTTTCCAGCTTCCCACCAAATTCTCTTGTACTGGAGATTTACAAATTGCAACCTCTTTGTCTTATGGTTTGAGAAAGATACTTTGTTGGCCTTGTTTGATTTTTTTCCGGTGAAAGGACACACTCTCTCTGAAAAAATTAAACCAAAGTACTACTGCTAGTAAGTGTATGTTTTGAAACTCATTAAGCATTCATTTCTCGCATTACGAGGCACTTCCAACTTGAAAAAGTAGAAGCTACAAAGTGCAGCTTCATTGTATACGCACGTATAGGCATTCCAAACGTAGAAACAAACAGATGCTAAGTATGTAATCCCTAACAAACTAGTTAAATTGTTTGACAATAATAGCCATGATTGGCAATAGGATGTCTTAACTAGTAATGAAGATGTAGCATAACATCAACAAGAAATAACCACATAAGTATATTATTCTTTTCATTCTTTCTTTTCTTTATGTGAACTTAGGCAGGGTATTTTTGCTGAGAAAAAAGACCAATCATTTAAAGGGCATGCATGTCCCAACATATGTCTCTATATACAAACAAGTTAACCACGTGCTAAAGGAACTCAGTTATCGGTCGATTGTGCCATACTATGTTATACATGTTCTTCTATATAAAAAAAGTAAACTAACACAGTAAGCCAACATAAAGAAGGGAGAGTTGTGTCATTCTAAAGATGAAGTTGGAGTAAATATTTGTGTGATCTTCTGTCCACACATTAAAAAAAAACAAAAAATATAGATTAACCCACCAATACAAATTTTACAACAGAAATGCACAACATAGTTGGTCACTCTGACCGATAGTCATCCTTCCCCATTGTTTAAGAAGAAATGGTCTATTGATGAAATAACCCTATTGTTATGAAATTTAAAGGACGTTATTGTAATGACCAGTGTAGTCAAGATCGAGTGTTGTATCGTAAGATAGAAAGATCTTACATTTCTGAGAGTGCTACGATCATAGAAAGATCATTTTCGTCGCTAGCATGGTCAAGATCGATCTTTTTAAAGCAAGATTGTTAAAAAAAACGTGTTAGGGCTTTTATTTGGACATGTATTATGATTCTCATATTTTTGTGTCCGTGTGTGTGTATGTATGAAATTACCATTTTCCCCTTTGGTAGGATCTTACTTGCCATGCTAACGATCCGAGTTTTACGATCTTTCACAAACCGACTGACCCTACTTAAGATCTCGCGCTTCACTATATTGGTCATGACTAGTTCATACAATCAAACTAGTATTAGCAACTACGTTTCCTTTTTTTCCTTCTTCTTATTAAGTATTATCGGTGACTACGTGTGTTGTGTATGGTCGTGCTTGCTACCGTACATATTCCATAACATGTGCAGAATCAGAGTAGTGATTTTATTTATTTTTGAATCAATCAGAGTAGTAATTAATTGTTTTCAATATTCCTACTCTAAAAGCAGCATTGTAATGCTAAGGGAAAACAGAAAATAAATGAAAAACAGAAGTGAAAATGAAATAGAGAGAAATAATTACTGGCAACAATGGGTTGAAAAGGAGAAGCAACTACAGGTGTAGGCGTTTTCAGTGAAGTCTGAGAAGAGATTCTGAGACCAGTTAATTGAGAATTCAGGAACCCTAATTCTGAAACCACAAAATTGCAACAAATATTGTTGATAACATAGATTCAGCACAGCATAAGAAAGCAAATTGAAATTGAAATTGAGAAGATGTTAGTTACTTACGGGGTGAGAGTGATGAAAGTTTGAGAGAGTTGGTTGGTGAAACTGTGCGCATAGAAGCCAAGACGAAAGTGTTTCGAAGCGAAATTGCAGAACCCGCCATTGCTCTTGTTTTTCGTTTTCACTGAGTTTTTTCTTATCCAACTCAATCTGATAAAACGAGTACTAGTATGCTTTTGTCCACCCAATGCCCTTCAAATAAATTTAAATTTATAAAAGATATATCATCAATCTAAAATAATTTTATATCCAAGGTGCCAGCGGATCATAAAATAATTAAGTAAATCTATAATATAAATCAAATTAGATCAAAATAAAATCTCGGTTTTAAAATTTAACCAAACCAATAAAAGTCAATGTTATTTAGTTCAGTTCTCGATTTTAATTTTTAAGAACCATCAAATCGATAAATTGAATTAATGTATATGATTACCTTTCAGTAAAACACGCATCTAAAACCAAACTCTAAATTATAAAAAATAGAAATCATAAGTCACCGAAACTTGTTTTAACTAAACTACGGCTCTCGTAGCCCGCCACAAGTATTTCTCTCTCTACCGTCATTCTAATATGTTATGGTTGTCTTCTTCGCGATCAAAATTTTTCGTTAATTTTTAATTATTTTCTTATCTTTTTCTTCAACAAAATTCCTTCTAGTCTTGTTACGAAACAATTTTGATGCGTGTTTGAGTCGTGAGCATGTTAATTGATGTGTGTTTTGTTGTGTTTTATTTGTTAAGCTTTCAAATTCATTCCTGTTCTGTCCTAGGCCCCGGCTTGACCGGGCAGGCCCAACCCAATAATATTCTGCCAAGTCCAATCCAGCTTAGGCCACAGTCGTCGAGCACAGGGTCCCCGACGGGCTGGTAATGTCCCTCCGCGGGCAGAACCTTTCTCTTGTGTGTCGAGCACAAAACTCCCCGTCGACCAGACACTGCCTCCGTCGGGCAGAACCTTCCTCCGCGGGCAGAACCTGCTCCCTTGTCGGGCAGGACAACGTGTCCTTCACACGTTTTCCACGTGCTCCCCTCCGCGGGGACACATCACCAACCAACTGTCCACCTCCGAAAGAGCAGGTCAAACCCACTTTCCGGAGACCACGGGACAATTGAACTAGGGCGAAGACCACGTTCTGGTCTTCACTACGCCACGTAAGCCCTAGCAGTCACTTGGGTTGGGCCTGACCATCCAGTCCAACTCAAATGACCGTTGGCCCTGCGCTGGGGTCTCTCTATAAATACCCTCTTTCACAAGAGGGTCAGGTAATCTCTTCTTACCCTTTTTCTGTACTTGTGACCACTCTGTCCATACACTTATTTTGTCATCGGAGTGTCTTGTAGGTACACCCCCTCCTCTTCTTCAACACCGGTGAACAGACAGTAAGTCAAAGACGAGTGGCAACCAACGACCCCCTTCTAATCAGGTCAGATCAATTCCTAACCTTTTAATGCAAAGTGTCAACTTTTATGTTTGATGGTGAACTTGTTTCATAATGCAATAAAAATGATGTCACTATTTTGGATGGATTAAGAGCAACTTGTAGTTTGTTCGAAAAAATAATAGCATAAAATACGCCGAAAAACACGACAGTGGAGAATACACTAATGAGTATAATGTTTGAAAAAAAACGTTGTAAACCAATAAACCGAACCAAACAAAATCAAATTAAACCAATCAGTTTGGTTTGGTTCCGTTTTTGAAAAATGTTAAAAATCGAACCAAACCAAACCAATGAAGTTATAATCAGTTCAGACATTTTTTTTACCAAAAAACAGTCTAAATCGAATTGTTTGCACCTCTACATCTATTCCTTCCAAATTACTAAAATGTTTAAAATTAGTTAAATGACATATAATTAGTCAATAAAAAAATCGTTGGAGTGTGTATTATTATATTTGTGAGAGTCTCAATCAAGGGTGCCTAGCACGAAGTCCCCCAAGCGATATTTCCACATATTATGAGGGCTCGCCTACCGAAACAGAGGAATGGATAGTAAAACTACCCTTACATTAGTCATATGAGATATAAGGAAAAATCATGTCACGACTCCCTAGAAAGTAGGTAGTTTACCATCTTCCCTAGTTAATGGGGGAACATTATTGTCTTTAAGGGATTCCTAAACTTAGGTCTATGGGTTCCTAAAAATACTTCTCTCATAACAGGAGAAAGAGAATCATAATTTATATACTCATACCTAAGTATTACGCTGATATATATAACCTCTCACCTCACGTGAGCATGTCCACTACTAACTACCATAAATGGCGTAACACCATTATACATGACTTCTCGTCACCGCTAACAAGTCCTAATCACCCTAAATTTTTATAAATCTACTAAGGCCTCTGAGTATTCCCTACCCTTGTAGGGATACCATGCACACCTGTCTGGTAAATGTAAATGAAGGGGGAGGGAAGAGAATATGTAATAATTTATGTGTTTGATTTAAATTTTAAGAAGAAGAAAGGAGGTAGACGGAGAGACCAAAATCTCTCCAGAACTACTTTTTGCTTCGCCCGATTTAAAGAATAGGGAGATGTTTGATTTTAATTATAATTATATTTATATATTTATAATTATTATTATTTAAATATAAATTTAACTTATGACAATGTTAAAAATTTTATTTTAAATAAATTTATTTTTTTAATATCTTAATCTTCCTATCATTATATCTGTTTAATTTTTTTATTTTATTTTTTATATTTTAATTATAATTTTTAACTATTGTAATGTTTTTGTTTATAATAATAGGAGAATCAAAACTATAATTTGGTCAATTATATATTATAATCTTTACGTTTTGTAAAATATTTAATAACGATCTCTGATTGAATATTTATATTTCTTCAATAAATTTATATTTGAATTATAAACAGTAAATATCATTAATTTTATGATAAAAATAAAAGGATAAAATAATAAATTAATTTTAAAATATTTATATTTTTTTAAATCAAATATATTTATAAATAAAATGTCTCTCATCCCATTCATATTTAAATTTAAATATATATGTAATTAAAATTCATCCCTCCCCTCCTTGATAGAACTAATACCCAAACTTCCTCAAATTTGGAAGATGAAAGTTGAAATGGTAAAGTGTTGACAACGCAGTCTCCGAATTTTAAGTAGTAACCATCACTGTATGTTGATTTGATGAAATGAAAACTGAATGTGCTTTTGATGACTCAGAAGAAGCTTTCCACGACGCTCCTCAAATACGACGACATACTCCGTCGCTATTTATCTTCCAAAGACAACAAATTCGGTTTATGTGCATCAGCTATCACCATTTGCCTCAAAACTTGTGTTGCCTTAGGCACCCTAGAATTCGGAAGGGGGGTTCACGTGGATTCCATCAAGCTCAGTTTCAACTCTGATTGTTTTGTAGGTTCTACTCTCATTCGGTTTTACTCACAATATGGAAAAATAAAATATGCACATAAGGTGTTTGATGAAATTACTCACAAAGATATTGTTGCTTATACTTCCATTATCAATGCATATGCCCATTCTGGTGATTCCTCTGCTTATGGTGCTTTCACAATTGCTTCTACAATGCAGAAACATGGTCTGCTTCCGAACCGAGTTACCTTAGTGAGTTTGATGCATGCAGCGGCGAAATTGGGGGCAATGCATGAGGGCGGTGCGATTCATGGTTACGCTGTTAGGAGAGAAATTGGTTTGTGTGATGATGTTTTTGAGACAACCCTTTTGGATATGTATCATAAATGTGGTGGTATTGGGTTAGCTGCCTCGGTTTTTGCCAAGATGGATGCTCGAAAAACAACAAATGTCGGTTCTTGGAACACTTTGATAGCTGCTTATCTTCAAAATGGACAGGCTTTAGAAGCTTTTCAACTTTTTCGTCAAATGATATGTAGAAATGTTTTGCCTGATTTGGTAACATTGGCCAATGCTATTCTGTGTTGTGGTGAATTGAATTATTTACGTCGAGGGATGAGTATTCATGGATACATGATCACGATGGGAGCAGAGCTTGATTTGGTGGCTTCTACTGCTTTGGTTGATCTATACTGTAAAATTGATGTAACCAAAGCTAGGAAACTGTTTGAAAGATTGGGGAATAAGGATGCTGTTGTATATAATGTTATGATGACTGGTTATCTTGAAAATGAGTTACCTGTGGAGGCGGTAAATGTTTATCGTGAAATGGTCAAGTGGAATATTAATCCAAATGTGGCTTTGTTTCTTAATTTGATTTCTGCTATATCAAAATTGAGAGACATTAGGTTAGTCAGGTCTATACATGGTTATGTATTGAGGCATAAGCACATATCAAATGTGGAAATCGCAAATCAAATTATTCATGCATATGCAAAATGTGAGCTTGTAGTGGATGCAAGGGTTGTCTTCAGTAGGATGAGAACAAGGGACTTGGTTTCATGGACTTCGATGATGACAGGTTATATTTATCTTGGCCACATTGACGAAGCCATAAATTTGTTTCGTCTGCTGCAAAAAGAAAATCTAAACATTGACTCTGTTACTCTAATTGGTCTCATTCAGGCATTATCCCGGCTTGGATATCTAAGTTTTGTTAAGGAAGTTCACTGTTTCAGTTACCGATTTTTTCATGGTAACGAGCTCTCTGTAAATAACTCTCTTATTAATACGTATGCTAAGTGTGGAAAACTGTGTATGGCTAGATATATATTTGAGCAAATGACAGAACTGTCTCTCACATCATGGAATGCAATGATAGGTGCGTATGCGATGCACGGAAACTATACAGAAGTGTTAGAGCTCTTTGATCATATGAAATTTGCAAAAGTTACACCTGATGAAATGACTTTCACTTCAATCCTCACTGCCTGCAGCCACTCAGGATTGGTAGAAGAGGGTCTACAAATTTTTGGGATAATGATGAAGGAATATGCAATAGTTCCAAGTGAAGTTCATTATAGTTGTATAGTAGATTTATTAAGCCGAGCTGGTCGGCTTAAAGAGGCATATAATCTGGTCAAAAGCATACCGTCAAGACATAGTTCTGCTGCATTGTCTGCTTTGCTTTCTGCTTGCAGATTATATGGAGATACAGAGATTGGGGAGGATATAGGGAAACAAATATTAAAATTGGAAACACATAGTTCTGGTGCTTATGCTTTGGTATCAAATATACAAGCCCAAGGGGGGAGGTGGGATGAAGTAGCCCAAATAAGGGCCGTGATTAAGAATACAAAAATGAGAAGTATTCCTGGATTTAGTGCATGTTTGGATTGACGGTGAGTTTGTCAGAATCGTGGTGGATCACTACAAGTTTAGCATAACCTAATCTCACCATCAATCCAAATATACACATAATCCAATACAGCTAGACAATCAGCATATGAGATGTGAATGAGACCACAACAAAACAAACTTAGTATGGGTTTTGGATTGACTTGTTTGAGCTTATCTATTGATATAAACATTTGTAAAACTGTTTGGAAGAGTTTATGAAAACAACTTAAAACTTATATAAAAACAGTTAGATTTTATTTATTTATTTTTGTAATTGAAATAACTTATTTATAAACAGTTATATATGAAAAACACTTATGTGCAATTCATTTTGTCCGATCATCCGAGTCTCTTGAACCTTTGCCACTATCTTTCAGATTTGCAATTTATCATTCTGAAATTTATGTGATGAAGATTTCATGCCTTTTTCATCTTAGTGCTTACTCACTTGTTCTTCTGATGTCTATATCTTCACAGAAGAATATTGATATATGGCACATGATATGAGTGTTGTGGTTAATGGTATCAAAGCAAGTATAAGATGGATTATAATTGAATGTGTAGAAAACAGAGTACGGTTTTGACAGACTTCATAAAGGTGCAATTTCACCCCAAGAGGTCAATAACTTTCTATAGTGGAGTTGGATAAGATAAGATACATTCCTTCCCTGACGATTTTGACAAAATACAGGTACATGCTATTTCTTTTTCTAGTTGTTGGTTGATAAAAATTTATTGGCACATTCTATTGATTGAAGCTTTTTATATTCTATATCTTATTGTTGGGTTATACATGTATCTTTATCTTCGGCTATTGCCTATAATTCACTTCATATGGTTTGAACTAGGGGAGTTCTAACATTTAATGAGCAAAATCACTTATTTCAATTGTTATTTAAACATGTGCAAGTAACCAACAATCAAGAAACATTGTGTGACTAATACTCTCCATTTATTTATTTAAATTTGGAACATCTATTAAATTTCAGATACGTTTACCTGTGATGTGCATCTCAAGTTATTTAAGTGTAAATGTAGCATTTGGAGATTCTGAGTCAAGGAGAAAATGAAAAGTAGATTAAATATTTGGTTCTTGTTTCCTTGAGGGTAAGCTCCATTGATGATTTCCCTTGTCTGATTTAATTTATATTAGTTCAATTATTTTTTACGAACTCAACTATGGAGCTTATAGATTTCCAAATATCACCTGAAAACCAATAGAGGGTTTGCATTAATGTAGCACCAACATTCAGATTGAAAGCGTATTTGGTGTCCATTACGTGTCAGTGTCAGACACCGACACGACATCAACACATGTGATTACAGTCAATTATATTTTTCAAATTATTAGCAGTCTCGTAGATTTTTGTCGAAGGCATATCTAAATAAATCAATGTATCTACTCTTGTCGTTCTGCTTTATTAACTTTGATGAGTTGTTGAGATTGATTTTATATGATAATTTAAAATATCTGAAAGCTGTTTCATCATGGTCTTCTGACTTTACTTTTGTCACAGGTAGGAAGTGGTCCAAGAATTAGTTTTCACTTTGCCACTACCATTCCTCCTTCATGTGTATGCATTTTTTGCTTGAAGTGTGGACAAAAACTAGCTCAACCATTCCTTGTGCTAAGTTTAAATTTGATAAATAGAAAATGGCAATGACAAGCTTGAAATCTTTATGATTTGTTAAAAGAGAGTAAGAGACTGTAATACCATGTTAAGTAATGAAATTCATTTATTTAACAGATCGGTATTCATAAGTGACTTTTAAATAGTTTCTGTATGGAATTAAGTTCATTGTTTCATATAACTAAATTCCTTTCCTTGGTGTAACTGGCAGAATGTACAATGCTACAAAACATTTTAATGCAAGCATTTGTTGATTTGAATGCATTCAATAAACCACCAAAATTTGCCCTGTTTTGGAAATTGAAGCTACCATATCAACTATCATTACTTTATTGAGTGATCTTCTACATCTTTTGCATAAATTTTGATGATTTGTTTAGATTTCTATAAATTATGTAATCTGATTTCTTACACTTTTCACGATCATTTCAGTGCCCGGTATCTGGTTTATGATGATGTTGTAGCATCTTCAACATGGCAGAGTGTACTAGAGCACTGGTATGACCCTAAGCAGACACAAAGTTTATATGAAAGAATTTAGCAGCAATTAGCTTGTTAGATCAGGATCAGCATGGAAATTATGTTACTTTGGCAGTATGTTTGTAAAGTTCGCATGCATTTGTTGCGATTGAATCATATTCTTCTTGCGTGTATAATATTTGTGCAACTTCTGAATTTACACTGATAAATTGGTCTTTATTCTCTTAAGCTCAATAATTATGTTCCTATTATTGACTATCTGTCTGCTATAAGCTTCGCGAACGAATTCTGGCATAGGATACTCAAAGGATAATTAAATGATGTTCATATTCTCCAGTTAGGGTTATCAGACGAAATATAAACCAAAAAAAGTTACTTGGATGCCATCAGCCACAATTATTTCTAGGTCAATTTTTTGTCGAAAGATATGTTATGAAACATTTTGCACATTTCACACTTCTATTTTAAGATTCTAACTAGAGCAAAAGATGTTTACAAGTAAGTTATATATAAAACTAACCAACTTTTCTTTTCTTTATATCTTGTTAGTTATATATAAAACAAACAACTTTTCTTTTCTTTATACATGATCTTTTGAAAGTGAAAAAGATATGAGAAAAGTCTGAGTTGTTAACTTCTTATCATGTGAAAAGGTAGAGTGAGTACCATAGAATTATATTGCACACAATGATGAGTCCAACTCTGAATTTCTCATGCCACCTTGCATGTATAGAATAAACTTTTAAACAACTTCAGTTTAAAAGCATTTTAAATGGTGAGACCAGTATATGAGCTACTTCAAAATTATGGACTCACTGAAAGTGAACATTATTTGGTCACACCATTCTCTTAGATTATTAAGAATTTATGACCAAAAGGTATTGTATATACTTAATAAGCAGACACATGACCCAAAGTGAGGCCTTATGCAGTAAGAAACACCATGTTATTGGTTGTTCAAATCAAAGTATAAACACACTCTGGCAATGTCACATAGATCAACCTGTCCTCAAATGCTTAAATCTAGGAGGAGCATGTGAATATCATCACCAATAATCATAGTATGGTAATGGTATAACATTGTTGTTCTTCTAGATTTTGAATAATATCGAATTTTGTCGTAGTCACTTAACATTGTTTATGTTGCAGGATTTGAAAATTTGAGTATGGGCAAAGAGATGGGAAATTACAGCACTTCTGCTATCAAAGGTACATGTTTTGTTATTGAAATGCTGAAGAAAATTTGTTGAAGCAGATTTGTATTTTTTTAAAATTAATTTGTCATCTTTGTAGAGGAAGATAACATAAGTGAAGTTGATGATAAGAATATCATAGAAGATACTAGTGAACATGCAAATGAGATATCACAAGAAGAAAATAAGAATATACCAACATCATCTTTAGCCAAAGATATACCGCAAGATGTCCTTGATACAGATGATGATGTAAAAGAGAAGAAAACTCAAACCATTTCAATAGCTGAAGCCAATGATGCTTATGACATAAATATGAAAAATCAAATGCATCCAAAATCAGAAGATGTTGTGGAGAAAGCAAGAACTGAACTTGGACAAGTTTCGATGCAAGAAGAAATTCACGGACACGATGTGGAAGAGAAAACTCAAGAAGAAATTCGTGGAGACGGCATGGAAGAGAAAACTCAATCGATTTCAACAGCTAGATTTGCAAATGGTGGTTATGAAACAAGGGAAAGTTTAACAAGGCTAAGTACTGAATCAAACCCTGATAATCTAAATGTCACTTCCCATATGCAAAAATCACCAAGTTTCAATCTCAACCTCCGAACCGAATCAAGGCGAGAAACGGATCATATTCCTTTGCTTTGTAAGTCCGCAAACGATAGCTTGTCTAACAAGTTAAGTCAAAATCTCAGTAACTCAATGGCCCATGATGAATATGATCACATTGAAGAGAAAATAGTTACCATGGAAAGAAGTTACTCAGAGATATCGAAATCTTCATTCATCGGTTTTCTGAAAGACGAAGAAGAAGAAGAAGCAGATCTTCTAGTCATGGAACAGACACAAGATAACAATGCTGGTTTGAAGATGGAAATGTTGTCATCTACTTCACCTAAAGGAAAAGAAAAGAGCAAGTTTATGTCTCACTTTTTTACCAGCTGCATGTGTTGTGCAACTCTGCCAAATTAAAACCTTTACAATTACACTTTTCTTGCGAGTTTCTTTCTGATTTATTTTTCTTGAAGTGTTGTTTTGATGTGGAGAGAATATTGATTGCTTGATGTCCATTCCAACTTCAACTCGGTTGTATACAACCACGTTGCTGAGGTATTGTCTGTTTTTGGTGTTATTTTAGCCATTACGATTTTGTGGACTGAGGAGAATGATGTTTATTAACAACTATTTGTTTCAATTTTAAACAATGTGAGAACTTTTAGTGTACAGAAATTTTTTATAAAGACAAAATATATATAGCCATTATAATAATTGTCAAACAAGGGCCTATATGAATGAATTAAGAATAATAAAAGGAAGAAGAGAAATTGTTACTTAAAAATGAAAGATAAGAGGCAGAGTCAGAATTAACTGGTCTCTGCTGTAAAAGTCACATGAGATTGAGAAAACATTAACAATGTGCATGTGTCATGCTTGTCAACAAGACAGCTCATTGCAAGCTCTATATGGTTCAACTGTGTTTTTTTATGAACTTCAAAGATTCTTAACATAAGGGTTAATTAGTTTAACAACTAATATAAAGGGGACCCTTTAAATTTATATCTTACTTCTTAAGGATGAAAAAAGTCCAATTGCTACTAGTCAAAGAAAATGACAAACTCACACACCATATAATTTTGTGGTGATAAATCATGTGTCAAATCTAACCAATTGATGTTTTAGTCAAAGTCCAAGAAAATGAGCTAAAAGTGTTCCCATTCAACATTAACATGCCTTAAACAAATCTAGTCAACTTAGCTTGAAACTATGCAGGGATATCAGTTTGCAAGAGTAAAAGTCCAGGGATATCAGTTTGCAAGAGTAAAAGTTCGAACTTGCGACATCTTACTTATTCATTGTTAAGAGTGAAATTCCACTCATTAGTTTACTAGACAAAAAATAAAGTTAGATGATGAATCTTGTTGATTTTGATAAACCCAATTAAATGAATTTTAAACTTTAATTAAAAGAATAAATCATGGGTTGGAGTTGAACAAATTAAATCAAGTGGTGTGGCTGAGATGTCACTCTAATGAGTTGGTCATTCACATAATGGACTACAACTACAATAGAAGAACACAACAAACAATGAACATATAATAGAAAGATTTATTATTTCTTCAAAAGAAGATGAGATTATAAGGAACCAAACAAATTTGAATAATAACAAATGAAATGATTTATGTTAAATATTTAAGAATTTAATTTGTTCATCCAATTGTCATCATCATCTTCACAAATTCATCATAGTTAACTTGACCATCACCATCCAAATCTGCTTCTTTAATCATCTGATCCACCTCTTCATCAGTTAATTTCTCACCCAAAGTGATCATAACATGTCTCAACTGCATAAATACACAATAATTTCTTATATAAGTCTATCCATTTTTCTCCATATTAATTGTTTATTTATCTTCAAAAGAAGTGGTCATAACCACCGAAAACTCACACACAACTGTGAGAATGATGTTAACGTCTAATCTAATAATATCAATTTTTATCAGTTGAACTAGAATTTACAAACTCAAACTCTAAATATTAATCAATTTTTATCAGTTGAACTAGAATTTACAAACTCAAACTCTAAATATTAATCGTACTTAGCACTTTAATATTAAACCCTAATGCATGCACTAAATCAAACAGCTAATATTCATTGAATGGAGAAAAGTACAAAGTACTGTCCTTGGTGAGATAGATGTGCATGTGAAATTAATGTGACCTAATTAATATATAATATTTAAAATATAAATTAAATAAATATTTAGAGGAGAAATTAATACCTCAGTAGCAGAAATATATCCATTTTGATCTTTATCAAAAACCTTGAAAGCTTCTTTCAGATCTTCCTCTGCATCAGTTTCCTAATTAACAAGAAAAAAAAAACAGAAAATTTGAAAACATTTATATAATGAATAATATTGGAGAAAAATTAAAAGGGTTAAATAATAATTACCTTCATTTTCTTGGCCATTAAGTTCAAGAACTCAACAAATTCAATGGTTCCATTGCCATCAGCATCAACTTCATTTATCATATCTTGAAGCTCTTCCTCCGTTGGATTCTGATCCAAGGACCGAATTACCGTAGCAAGTTCTTCCACAGTAATGCAACCTATTATACAATTTTTTAGCATATAGTATTATGTAAGAACATTATATTCTTACAAAAAAAATTGAAAAAAAAAAAAAACAAATAATAAGGATTATAAATTTACCATCTCCATCTTTATCAAACAAGCAAAAGGCTTCTTTGATCTCAACAATTTGGTCTTCATTCAAAATTTCTGCCATTAATAAAAAAACTGAATATGAAGTCAGGAGAGTGTTTGAAATTTGAAGAGAGACAGAGAGATGGAGAGAAAATGTGTTGAGTATAGCTCAATCTTAGCTGGCTTATATGAAGATTTCAGTGTGGGAAAGTCTAGGAAGATTTCTTTTTTGAATTTTAATTTAATTAGTATATAAGGTCAATGCACGCTTATGACTGCATTTTCTGGTCATATATATTACCTCTATTTCTAATATAAGTTTTCTTTTGATTATTTTATTAATCTTTTGATAAATAATTAATATCACATTTTCTTTATTTTTCTCCATATTTAGTATTGTTCCAATTTGAAACTATAATTTTTTGTCTGATGGAAATGAGAAGGGGGCATTGGACTTCTAGTAAGGCGGTGTTGAGTAGATTTGTAAGGTTAATAGCGTTTAAGTTAGTGCGAAAAATCAAAGTGATGTAAAAGTGAAAATGAATTTGAATACTTAAGAATGACTCATTTGTCTCTTTATATATTTGGAGCATTTAAAACTACATGCGGGAATGCGACGCACTTTAGAGATAGACGTTTAATTGATCTGATCGATGGATCGATGATGCATTAGAAAGTGGAGTTCTCTATGTTGATGACCTAATGATAACAAGCAGTTGTAAGAATGTGATCAAAGATTTCAAACATGACTTAAGTAAGGAGTTTAAAATGTTATACTTGAAAATTTTCTCATACTTTCTTGGTATCGAATTCTACAAGAGTAGTTGAGGCTTAATGGTGCATCAAAGAAGATATGCAGGTGAAATACTTAAGAGGTTTGAAATGCAAGACTGCAACCCAACTTCGACTCCAACTTAACGTATATTGCAATTGATAAAAGACTCGACTGAAGATGATGTCGAACCAACATAATATAGAAGACTCATTGGATCACTTAGACACCTCTGTCATACAAGGCCAGATTTAGCCTATTGTGTAGGCATGGTCAATAAATTCATGCAGAAACCGAAGATATCCCATCTTGCAGCCACCAAGAGGATACTAAGGTATTTCAAAGGAACACTCAACTATGACATTTTGTTTCCTTCAGTTGATGAAGGAAAAGAATGAAAGCTTGGGGGCTACACTGACTCTAGTTAGTGTGATAATGCTAAAGATAGAAAATTGACTGCAAGATATGTGTTCATGTTAGGTGGTGCATCCGTCACATGGATTTCGAGAAAGGAACCGGTGGTAGATTTATCATCATGCAAGGCTTAATACATAGCATATTCGTTATGTGTATGCCAAGCAAAATGGATGATGAATCTATTCGAAGAAATTACAGGAAAGAATCATGGAGCAATAACCATGAAGATCGACAACATGTTGACTATCATCCTGACAAAGAATCTTATAGCACATGGAAGAAGCAAACACGTCAAAATAAGGTTCAATTATCTTTGAGAGCAGGTAACCATTGAGAAGATGAATTTGGAGCATTGTAGAACTGAGAATCAGATTGCAGATATCATGACGAAGGCTGTGCAGGTCAAATTGTTCAAGAGATTGAGAGTTATGATGAATGTAGATAGCTCAAAGACAGTGAATTAGGTGATGTTTTAAATATGTATTTCTTTGTGTCGATCATAGCGTGCATGCGATAAGAGTCAAACAAAGTTTGTATTAACTGTATTTGACAAAAACTTAAATGCAGCTTGTTGAAGCATGTAGTTATCGAAGGAGTTAACCTCGATAGAGTCAAACTTAGTATTTATTTTATTTTGTTTGTTAGTTGGAGATTACTTGGTGTGCAAGTAATCTCATCTATAAATAGAGAGGAACTTTATTTCATTTGTAAGAAGTTTTGTAGTAGCATTGTGTAATTTTCAGAAATCATAGTTGTGATTAACACACATTGTAACAAACACTTTGAGTGCAAATTACATATCAATATAATCTTCTTATTCTTCTTCTTTAAGAATTTCTCTTTAATTTTATTTTCAATTGTCTCATTTTCTTCTTTTAATTTTCTGTGTAGCGTAGAATCATCTTGAAAAAAAAGGACTGATTATTTCACTTGAATAAAGAATAGAGAATAAAAGGCGTGAAGAATAAAAAAAAAATTAATTCTTGTTCATCAAAACTAATACCATTAACTTTAGGATTTGAGTTTTCTTAACAATTTATGTTATTTAACTTTTTAGCATAATGAGTGTTATATAAAACACCTCAAAAGAAAAACAAAAAAATATAACAATAAAAACCGAAAAAATAAAAACAACATAACAATTAAAATTTATAAGAATCTCACCAAAAAAAACACTTGAACAATTAGAAAAACCATAAATCACAAACTACTATTAATCTCTACACCAAGAGAAACACTCATTTCACTCTTTATGCTATTCATTATATTTAAGTTAGAGTTTCACAAGAGTATTTTGAGGACATCCTTATACAAAATAAAAAAAGTATATAATAACTTAAATCCTTAAAATTGTAAATGTCTAGTCTATTTAATCACTCAAATTTGCAAATAGCAATTTTGTCATTTAGTTTCAAAAAGATCAGCCAATCACCTCATTAAAAAGGATACAGTCCCTTAAATAATAGCATACATATTTATTATAATAAAATGCAAAGTTAGTAGTTTATGACATTATTATGAAATAATTAAAAGAATGAGATTGCAAGCCTTTGATTTGATCTCTATCCAAATACATAGGGAGCATGTAGATTTAATTAAACTATTTAATAATATGATTTTTGAGTTATATAATGGAGAAGAAAATTGTACAGCTGGAAGGTTTAATATTTAGGGGACAAAAGACATTAATTAGAAGGTAGTAAATAGGCAAGAGGGAATGGACTATGGATTATTATAGGGATATGTGTAACTGTATTTGTATAGTTTTCAACAATTTCAATGAAATTCCACCAACCCAAAAACCACGCTTGATTGCCTTCAAGAGAAAAGACCTAGAAAAGTTGAATTTAGAAAACGTAGTTTTTTTTTCCTGTGTTTTTCTGAATGAAAAGATCACTGTCAACGCGGTTCTATGGAAAAATTAAAAGCACAACGCGCCTTGAGTTAGTATTTTTCAAAAGAGAAATATATATACTTACTATGTACGCGTGGAAGGAGTCAAGATAGAAGTAGTGCCTTAAGTTAACCTATACTTGTTTTTAGATTTGGGATCTTATTATAAACAAAAGGTTTAAATACTATCTATGATATGATTCTTGATTTTGGATTTGGAATTATCATCCTATTATAAACTAAATGTTAAATTTTTTTTATTTTTTTTGGTTGAGATATGATGTATTTTGTTGAGATATGATGTATTTGAGTGCACCTTTTTATTAAAAATGTTTTGTATGATGTTAAAATTAAGATATATTAATATTTATGTATATTAGACGGTATTCTACGAGTCTAAATGCATATCTTAGTATTAAGAAATTTAAGAATGGTTTAGAAAAAAATTCATGCATTAAAAACAGATTTTTATGTGAAAAACAGGTATATGTGTCGACACATACATGTTGGAAATAGATCATAACTTATGGAGAATTTATATCAATCTTGATGAACAAGATTATTATCGATACACAATAATAACAATGAAAAAAAAGAAAAATTGTAGAAGAAAGAAAGTTAGGGTTTGATAAAATATAGAAGAAAATGATGATTTTTGTAGAGTAATTATCTGCTCACACATTGTAAAAAACTTATTCACTTTACAATTGCAAAGTTCTGTGAATTCAAGTTTTTTTTTACAAGAACAGAAGTTACTCCCTCTATTTATAGTTTTAGGTTAACTTGCTCCCAAGGCAAAGCCAAAAACACAAAAGCCCAAAATATTCAATTTAGCTAACATTACTAAAATATGTCCAAGTTGAAATCCTGTCAAGCAACCTGCTTCGAATTTCGACACTCATTCACTAGCCTAATATAGACACATCCTTGTTTCTGCCGAGCACTACTTGCTTCGACACAAGGAATTACATTCTCAACACACCACCTAATTCATTGTGTCTAAGCTATTTATATTCACCATAGACCTTAGTCTTTTGAGCACTTCGACCTGTACTCCCTTAGTCATGATATCTGCAATATGATTCTTAGTTCTGGAGTGTTCCAAGTTCATCTTCCCTTCTGCTACCTGCTCACGAAGATAGTGAAACCTCATTTTGATGTGCTTTCTCTGCCCATGTGCTATCAGATTCGTCGCCAGATTGATAGCAGACATGTTATTGATCTTCATAGTAATTGCTCTATGACGCTTCCTTGTAATCTCTTCGACTAGGTTCACCATCTATGTTGCTTGGCACGCACATAGAGAAACATCTATGTACTCTACTACAGATGATGATAATGCCACTACTGGCTCCTTTCTCGAACTTCAAGCAACCGGTGCACCACCTAGGATAAACACATATCCAACTGTGAATTTTCTATCCTCAGCATCACTACACCAACTTGAGTCGGTGTATCCCACTAACTTGCATTCTTTTCCTTCATCAATCTTAGGAAACAAAATGTCATAGTCGAGAGTTCCTTTCAGATACCTTAGTATCCTCTTCGTCGTTGTTAGGTGTGATACCTTTGCCTTCTGCATGAATCTACTTACCATATCTACACTGTATGCTAAGTCAGGTCTTGTGTGACAAATGTATCTTAGTGACCCAATAAATCTTCTATATTGGGTTGGGTCAACATCATTTTCATCTGATTCTTTCAACAGTTGCAATCTGGGCTCAATTGGAGTCAATGTTGGGTTGCAATCTTGCATCTCAAATCTCTTGAGTATTTTGCCTGCATATCTTCTTTGATGCATCATCAAACCTCTACCACTCTTGTAGAACTCGATGCAAAGGAAATATGAGAGATTTCCCAAGTCTGACATTTCAAACTCCTCACTTAGGTCATATTTGATATCTTCGATCTCCTTCTTGCAACTTCCTGTTATCAACAGGTCATCGACATAGAGACATAGTATAAGCAATTCACTATTACTTCTTCTTACATATACTCCA